TCCTGGAGCTCCCAATAAGAGTGAGAAAGGAAGTATTAAGTTCAAATGCCACAATGCACAATTTGTTAAGGATTTCCTATCATTTCATTTTCTAAGTATGCTATTTTCAACCACCAGAAGTCACTTAGGCCAGACACATTTATACACCAGTTTAAATCACCATTCAAAACTGGCTTCCACAAAAACTTTCTACTGTTACCTGCTATTCCCTTAAAAACACACATTTCTATTTTGAGACTCTACATGCTGCTAGGCTATATCTTCATGGCATATTCTTTCCCCATCCTGGGAAACTATCACTTGTCCTGTTATGGTACAGTGACATCAGTCTTTGGACCTTCCAATCCCTTCTCCACAGCTTTTCTTAAATAAATTACTGGTTGTTTTCTATTTATGACTTACATATTCCAGTGCTTTATATATAATTTACTTACTATTCAATACTTCCCCTTTGCCATATTATCCTCTCCACTTAACAAAGATACTGAAGTTGAGATCTGGTTTTACCTCCAAAAGCACATAGCAGAACAAGAACTCAAACTCTGTTCAGTATAAATTTTAATTTCTTCCCCATGAAAGTACAGACTCCACAGTATTCTTTTTACAGTATACGTGGAATTATCATTTCTTCAAATCGCAATCTCTCCCATAAAACAGATGCTCCAAAAAGACAGGGAATGTGTCTCTATTCCTATACAGAGCTATTACACAATCATGTCAATATGCTGTTGAACACCAAGAACACTCAATCTCTTATTTATTCAGCTATGATTTTACAGCATTACTTTCCACTGTTCAGTCTCACAATCAACACCAGTAAAGAAAAGTACTGGGAAAATCTGATTCAAAGGGTCTCTCCAAATGGCTAAAAAAGCAAAGATTTCAATTTAAAGACTTTGTGCACCTGATCTAAGCCATGCATAACCTTTCCAATTACTTCCCATGCGTGTGAACAATGAGCAGTGAATAAAGAAGACAGAAGCAGCAGCGAGGCTTCTGAACTGTCATGTTGAACAAGAGTACGGAATATCTCATGGACTGTCAAATGAACAAGAAACCATTATCTTGAAGGAAGTACAACCAGGGTACTCCTTAGGGGTAAAGATAGTAGCACTCTGTCTCACTTATTTGGGGCATGTTTCCAGGAAGGGCTAATCCTTGGGGAAAGACATGATGCTGAGAAAGGTGGAGTGTCAGAGGCAGGAACACGTTCTACAAGGTGGGCTGATAGAGTGACCATAACAAGGGGCTTGAGTATATTAGAGTTTGTAAGGGTGATGCAAGGTAGAGTAAGGTTAGGATCTGTTGTCCATGGGGTCACTATAAAGCAAAATCAATCAGACTGCATAAAAGAATAACAGACTCCTTTAGGAACTCTGGTTGCCTAGTTTGTAAGGAGTTGCAGTGCCAACCTAAAGGCATGTGATTCAAATCTACCATCCGCTTCTTGGAAGAAAGATGGGCAATCTCCTCTTGTAGGATTTATATCCTCTGAAAACCTGCTGGAGGGTCGGCTTGCTTCCAACTCAACAGCATTTAACAACAAAAGCAGTGTCCTTGGAGGCAAGGATGGTAAATCTCATCTTACATACTCGGAGCATATTATTAGGAGTCACCAGTTCTCCAGGAAAAAAAATCTCATTCTAGGAAAGGTTGAGGGTCAGTAAAAGAGAAGATGAACTTCAAGAAGAGAGTCAGAGTGACTGTAACAATGGGCTCGAGCAGAGATGATGATGATGATAAGGAGGAGGAGGAGGAGGAAGAAGCAAGGTTCTGATCTGTTGTTCTGTGTCACTGTGATTTGCTGATACTTAACAACTATAATTTCCTCCTTCTGGGGAGCTCCCGTGGTCTAGTCCACAGGAAGTTGTGCTTCTGTCAGTTCAAATCTACCAGTGGCTTAAAAGGAGAAAGACGAGCAATTTCCACCAGTGCAATTTACATCCTCAAAAACTCAACAGAAAATTGGCTGTGAGCAGATTCTCACTTGACAGCAATGAGTTTCATTTGAGTCTCCTAAGAAATCCCCAAGATACCAATGTTTCTGTGACAGTAAAGCACGATGACTTTGAAAGATGATCTTTAAAATCCAATTGCTTTGATGTGACTCTCACTTCAGCTTACTTCCTAATTGAGAAAAATTAGATAAATGAATTAGACTAACTGGTCTATGAAATAAGGCGCTCTGGTGGCCTAGTGGGTAAAGAGTTACACTGTCAACCCAGAAGCATGCATTTCAAAATGCATACGCTGCTCAGAAGCAGAAAGATGGCCAATCACTTTCTGGGGATTTGCAGACTCTGAAAACCTGCTGGAGGGTCAGCTATGATTTGGTTCTAACTGACCGGACATGACAGTAACATCTATAAAATTGGAAGGATGGAAATGGTAGCAGTCACCTTACTGGATTTTAACAATTAAATTCAAATGTGTATGAATTACTGAATAGGGAAAAAAAATCTGTAAACTTTCACTCAAATTATAACAAAAAGTTATAAAAATAAAGCTACCAAGAATTACAGAAATTTATGATATTATTATAAAGTTTATGAGCAGCTTTTGAAAAATCCAAATAACTAAATACGTAAGCAATGAAACAACTCTTTTTGAGTCTCATTTTTTCCACATGCCACCCTGAATTCCCTTTGGTTCAGCCAAGTGAAGACTTTTCCATTACAAATCCATCCCAATTTTTTACTCAATAGACTAGCCAAGAAGTCTGTGGTTTAAAAATTGTTGACACCTTCTTCCTTTTTAGAGTTAACTACCAGTGCCAACTTGCACTTAAAAGTAGTCAGCCCCTGAAGGACTAATAAACAAGAGCCTCTCTACCCAACTCTAGCCTTGATTTGCTTATTACCACATTCCCGTGCTCTTCTAGAAAGTGGGGAGAATAAAAACACAACACTCCCAACTGGATGCTGCCTGATGTAGGCAGACAACCAACCAACGTGGAAAGCGGGCTATTTCCTAAGCAAGACATTTTCCTAGAACCGTACTGCATCTAGTCCCAGACATGGCTCATGCTCCCAACTTCTCCAGAGTCCTATCTTCTAGGATCTGGAGGCTGAGCCGCCACCACTGACAAGGAGATTCCCATTTCCGCCTAAAAAATTCAGCAGCTATTAGGCCAAAATGTCAGGATTTCAAATAGCTACACTATTTTCTGATTATCTGAAGCTAAAATGCATTGTTTCAAGTTCTGTGAATTCTCCCTTTCCAAGGGCAAAAGAACCAAGTCCACAGTTATGGAGAAAATAAACTTTAAAAAATCCATAACCACTACAATGAATTTCAAATCCTATGTCTAGAGGCAAAAATCCGAGGGAGGATGCAGTGTGTGAAGAATGAAATCTTTTAAAATGTCAAGTGGTCACAAAGAATAAAGTCAAAGTGTCACACACAATAAAATCTCTAAGCTGGAAGGACATAACCATTAACAAAAAAGAGCACTGCAAATTATTACAAAACATTCAATGCATTCATCATCAAATTTTCAATTACTTGGTATGTAAAACATAGGAGATTTCATAAACAGTCCCAGAATCTGGACTTCCCTCGCCAGTATAATGAAGCTGTTCTTTGTTTATGCTAGGCTGAAAAGAAAAAATAAAATCTATGGAATAATGAGAAAACGATCCCTGAAGTTATAGAAGGAGGTGTGAAGTTAGAAAGGAACAATACCAGAAGGCTGGCTGTCAGTGTCTGGCAGATAAAGCGAAAAAGCAAGCTGATGATCTGAAATACGGTTTCCAGACTAGAAATTCCGCTAAGGCCGGTGGAGGATTTCAGCAGTCAGCGTCGGAATCAAGGAAACTAAACTGTTGCCTGCCTTGTTCGGCGGGTGCAGGGCAGCGACCCTCCCTCCCTGCCCGGGCCCGGCGTGGGAGCCGCCCCCTTCTCCCCGGCCGCTGTCCGGAGGCTGGCCCCAGCTCGGCCGTCCACACACACAGCCCCCCACACCGCCCCCAGCACAGCATCCAGAGAAGGAAGAGGACGAGAGGGGCCGAGGGAGGGGGGCCGAGGGGCGGCGACAGCACTGCGGGCCCCGGCGCTGGGCTTTCGGCCCTGCACCCTCCAGACTCCCAGCAAAAAAGAAGGCTGCGCCTCAACTGCGGGGCAGAAGATGGGAGGGGGGCCGGGGTACGCAGGTGCAGATGGCTGCCGGGGAAGTCACCCGAGCAGGAGGGCGATGCATTAAGACCGCAGCTCGCGCCTCCATCCTGCCGGCTGTTGTCCACCCTAGTCCGGTCATTGTCCATCCCAGGGATTCTGTCAGAACCCAACGACCTCCACCCGGCCTGTCCAAGCGCGAGGTGATGCCGCTCTTACCGTAGGAGCCGGCGCCGCGCCGCTAGGAGGCGGCTGGGATGCGCGCAAAAGACACTGAAGCCGGTGCTGCCGCGGCCGCCGCGAGAGCCGAGGAACCACTCGACGTTGCCGGCGGGCGCGCTGCCTCCAGAGCAGACGTCCCACCCACCGCCCGAGGGATTTTGTGCCGGAGCCTGCAGTCTCCCCGCCCCCAGCTAGCGCGGACGGGCAAAGACGGGGCGGGGCGCCCAGAGAGGGTGGGCTGATTGGCCTTGGTGGGCCCAATGGGACTACGAAAAATCCAGACTGGGTTTCGATTGACTTTCCTCCTAACCAATGGTCGTGGGGACGCGGGCTCAATGGCTTGGGTTTTTTTTTGGGGGGGGTTTGTGTGGGGTTTTTTTGTTGTTTTTTTTTTTATTAGCCGCGTTACTGCCAAACCCGAAAAGTGAGTTAAGTTTGGTTGGTTTGCACTGGCGGCCAAATGGTCCAATTACCGCAGGGGACGAGGAGGCTGAGGCCAGATTGGCATCCTCTCTGCCTATAGGGCAGGCCCAGGGGCGGCGAGGACCTGCCCCGGAAGTGGGCGCGGCCTCAGAGCTAGACCTGAGAATCAAGCCTCTACCGTGGTCGTTGGGAGAAGCGGAACTGGGTCTTTTTCTTAAGTATATCATGTGATGGGTTCTGGTTTTAATGGAGGAAAAAGTGTGGAAAAGGCCAAGGATCCGAACTGGCGTATTTCCTAGTCTTCGCGTCCCTTTCCGCCCTCTGGCTGGCGGTTCTGTTAGGTGAGTCCGGGGCTTCGCCGGGCCGGCCTCCCCTAAAGTGCACCCTGTCCCATCGGGTTGGGTGGGGGGACTCAGTCGCCGCCCTCACCTCATACTCCGGCCCTACGACGCGCTGGGGAGCAAGGTCTCCGTGGATCGGATCGTGCAAGAACTCCACTCACCTCCTGGAATTTCCCGGGCCCACAGCTCGGAATGGGGGAGTCCGGACAGGGAGTCACGAGCAGAGGTTTGGCTTTGGGGCACCAAGGACAAGGACGGTTTGGAGGTGTCCAGAAGTCCTAGGGACGAGTAGGCCTGAGGAGGATGAATTGTAAGCATTGCGCTGTCACAGGTGAACGGTGCTTAAGCTGGACAAGGCAGCTGCAGCAGGAGCCTTTTAAGGGGCTTCATCCAGAAGACCAGAGTATTGTGTTGTGCGGAGAAGCGTGTGGCATAGGAAGCACTAGAGACCAGTTTATGATAATATGAGGCACGTGATGTTGACAGAGTCCTTAAGATGTCCACAGGAGGGCAAGGCTCGGGCATGGAAACTGACCCTTACCTTCCAGATGCTTCAAAGGTGCAATGCTTTAGAAGCATCCTTTTTATTTTGGAGTATAATATACATGCGCACCCTTCGGGAGGCATAGTTGAAGGAAGTTGCAAATAGGATTACTTAAATTAACGAAAATGTAAAATTGGAGTCATATTTTCATTGTAGCTCTGCACCCACTTCCTCTCAAGCATCAAAGGTCGAGAGAGTGTGCCTGTTTCATTGTGTCTGTTAAATTTACATATAAACAACTTCCTTTCATTCTCCAATAGAAAGTTTGTAGCCCTGAAGCCACCCTTACTTTGATCACTTACCACTCTGCTATTCAGAACAAATGAGGTCTGACTCATCCATTGTCAGTTGGAGAAGTTATATTTGACCGAGTGCATTAGTTTTATTTAAGCCATTTTTTTAATTAAAGTGAAAGTTCAGAGAAACAAGGCCAAATTAACTGGAGGTCAGAAACGAGCAATCCTATTCACAAGTAAAATGCTTTATTTGTAGTTCTTAATCAGCACACACCCTTCCACTTTCCTTGCTCAGTTTACCCCCACATCCCATTTTGGCAGTGCCCCTGGTAAATCCCTGAAATATGTCCTATGCCCAGGAGAAGAGATGAGCACAGAAAATGCTATTCGAGGCTCAGAAGTACTTCAGTGGGCAGTGTCTGCCAACTAATGAAATAAGCTGAGTGCAAGTAGATGGGTACAAGGGGGGTGGGGGGAAGAAGGAGTCTAATTTAATCTATGGACTCAAGACAAGTATCAAAAGATAATATGTAAATTCTTGCAAAATTACATGGTAGTCACAATTCAAGTGCATTCCTGTGAGTCAGAATCAGCTCATAGCTGACCAGAGCTACTAGTGTATTGGAACCATCAGAGGCGCTACCCTTGGGTTGGCAGCATAGCTTCCTGCAAACCACACTGTTTAAAGTAGAAGAGGAGGGGGTTGTTGTTGTTGTTGTTATATGCCATTGAAAGAAAAACCAGAGGTGGTTCTTAACTATAATCAGTATAGTATGCTAGTCTCGTGCATTTGCTTTACCCAGCCCTTGGCACAGTGTTTAAGTATTCACCTGCTAACCTAAAGGTTGGCAGTTGAAACCTACAGCTCCACTGAAGAAAGAGGTAGCAGTTTACTTCCATAAGGAGTGTAGCTTTGGAAACCCTTGGAGCAGTTCTGCTTGGCCCTGTAGGGTCTCTCTGAGTCAGAATTTCCTCACAGGCTTATTCCTTATATGTTATTACCAGTTTCTTCACCTTTTCTTTCTTTTCTTGCATCTTTCTCTCTTTCCAAAGGGTAACTTCCCCACTTGTTTTACCCCCCATCTCCCACAGATTGATATTTAGCTCTTTGCATCAAGTTTCCTCTCATTCTCAGTTTATCACTTCCCAGTGGCTTATTTCCTTAAATATTTAACTACATTCCTCCCTCACTAAATATCCTTAAGTCTTTCCCAACCCCCTGTCTTTCATCTTTTCTTTTCCAGATGCCCCAAAGGAATAACATGTTCTTAGCTGTTATGTGCCGTTGAGTCGCCTGTGACTCATAGCAACCCTATAGTACAGCAGCCCTGAAGCCTGCCTTGTCCTGAACCAATCTCACTGATACTGACACACCTACCCCCACTGTCCCAGTTTTACCGTATCAATCGATCCATCTCATCTGGGGTCTTCCTCTCCTGCACATGATGTCCACCTTCTCCAGGGACCTCCTGGCCACATGCCCAGAGTATGTGAGATGGAGTTTCAAAATCCTAGCCTCCAAAGAGAAAGTTGGATTCACCCCCTCCAAGACAGACCTATTTGTTTCTTGGAAGTCCATAGTATGTTAAGGACTCTTCTCCAGCACTGCAGCTGGAAGGCTGCTCTCACTTTTACCTCTGTTTATTTGTAGTTAACCCCTTACCTACTTGCAGTCTCTCTTCCAATTTCTCTTTCTGCTTAGCCTTCTTCCAGAAGGTCACAAGGTTGGTGTAAAAGAAAACTGACTAAATGAGAAAATATATTGAACACTTGTATGTGAAGATTAAATATAATGTGTATAAGTAAAACTTAGATTTAATGCATTCCCAATAAAAACACTAAGTTTACAAAAAATAGCGATAATGTTATTAAGAAAGGAAAGAACAAAAAAGAGTAGAAAATATTCTGGGAAAGAATAAATAGGTTTTTTAGGGAATTATGTTTATCTTAAAAGTACGGAATGAGGGTTGCAGAGTGGATTATATTTGGGGTGGGGGAGAGATTGTGTACCAATGAAGGAGTTTTGCATTTCAAGGCGGGGGGGGCAGGGAGAAGAGTGCAACAATGAATGAATGGAATTCCGAAATCTCTGTAGATGTTCATTGAAATAAAAAAAAATAAATAAATAAAAAATTTTTTTAAAAAAAGTAGGTTTTAGACCTTCTAGATAGCAGGACATATCCTGGAGTCACAGTTACAGCAGCATAGTACAAAATAGAAATATGAATCAGGAAAACAAAGAGTTATAAGAAATTGGCCTTTTATAGATTTATTTACTGTCCAATAATCACAAAACATTAAAAGCTAGGTGGGAGTAATTATTAGTGTTTGGTCTATACAGTATACTAAAGTGATAACAGTGAGAATATACCTATTAAAAGAAATCTTAGGCTAAGAAAATACTTTAAAGAATTTACTGGTAAAGGAGACTTTACTTTTTAAAAATAAGACTTATAGAAAACTATGTAAAAATTTTATGTTATCAGTGCCCTTTATAGTATGTAGTCCAGTTACCTTTTCATTCTACTTTGATGCCCTTGCAAGTTTTATTAACCCTCCCTTATTAAAACTCTAGCGTCTTGATACCACTTCCTCCTTTTTCACTACTTCCACTTTCCCATTGAGTACGTGTGTGTGTGTGTGTGTGTGTGTGTGTGTGTGTGTGTGTGTGTAGGAGGGTGTGAGATTCCCTGAAATTGACTGGGAACAGGGTGATAAGCACAGCCCTCAGACTGAGATTCTTGAACAAAGTCAGTCACTGCCTGTGCTAAGAGCAACAGAAGCAAGCTCTCTCTGAGATTGTTAATAGAGCTATACTCAGTAGATGTATTAAAAATTTTGTTCTATTTTGTTATAGACTTATGAATTATGAATATAATGTCAAAGATTGTTTCAGAGCTTTCCTAAAGATAGAATGGTAAAATGTTTTCAAAATAGGGAAATTGTAGAGTTGGAAAAGAGCCAACTGTGTTCAATAAGAAATTTTTTTTTCCCCTCCTCATATCAAAACAATTTTGACTTTTTTTTCCCCTTTTCTTAGGGTGTATTTCCCTTATTTCAACTCTGCAACAGCCTCTTTAAACTGTTTAAATGAGAATGTCCTTGGCCCAGAGAGTACTACTCACCTGGCTTTTCACATTACTCTTCTTGATCATGTTGGTGTTGAAACTGGATGAGAAAGCACCTTGGAACTGGTTCCTCATATTTATTCCAGTCTGGATATTTGACACTATCCTTCTTGTCATGCTGATTGTGAAAATGGCTGGGCGGTGTAAGTCTGGTTTTGACCCTCGACATGGATCACACAATATTAAAAAAAAGGCCTGGTACCTCATTGCAATGTTACTCAAATTAGCCTTCTGCCTTGCACTCTGTGCTAAACTGGAACAGTTTGCTACCATGAATCTATCCTATGTCTTCATTCCTTTGTGGGCCTTACTGGCTGGGGCTTTGACAGAACTTGGATATAATGTATTTTTTGTGAGAGACTGACTTCTAAATACATCATATCATATTTATTGGCACTCAACAACAAATGTTCTGAATCTTTACAAGCTTCAAGAATACCAGAGGACTGAGGGGGTGAGGAAATTACCAAATGTAGTTTTATACTGCTTCCATAAAATAGGCGTGGCTTATAAACCATGGACTTATCATTCACCAGAACTGAATTATTACACTTAGTTATTCCATATTTGAGTATTTGCTCTTAACTCTCTACATGTAAATAAAGTTTGCTTTGAACTTTACATTTCTACCTGACTCTTGAATAATCTGTTGTATGTAGTCAGTATTTAAAGCTTTTAATCTGTATATTTAAGTAGTTGAATATGTAGCCTTATTATGACCAAAATAAATGGCCATTTGTTCTTCTAAATTGTAGGAAACATAACAGTGATGTCACTTCAGGTTTATGTTCAGAGAGAGCTGGAGGGTTTGACAGCTTTTTATCTAGCCTGAATTCATCGTTACTTCTGTATGTGGGGTAGATTTGTTAGAGGTGGTATGTTAAAACCACGGATTCCTTAAGTTTTGGGGCTCAGACATCACGATTTGATCTGTACAGACCAAGTTTATGCTCATTGTCCTGTCATCCTAGGAAGTTAGTGAGTGCCCCCCTTCACTTTCAAAAGACGCCCTGTGGTCCAGCAATGAAGCTACTAACTGAAAAGTCAGTGGTTTAAACCCACCAAGGTCCGCAGGAGAAAGAGCAGTTGGCCACTGTAAAGATCACACCCTTAGCAACCCTGTGGGCTTCACTCTGTTCTACCAGTGGACTCCACAATGGGCTTGGTTTGGTTTTTCACTTTTAGAAGTGCCCTACTTTGTAAGTACCTCCTAGGTACTACCTAGTTACTACCTCCTACTTATAAAGAAGTGGAGATGGCAGTACTTAACAAGAATTTTCAAGTGGTTAATATGTCTTGTTGGAAGGAGAAGTGGCATCCACTTCCATAATAGCTTGCCTCTGGAAATCCTGTGAACCTGGAGAGAGGATCAAAGGCATCCAAGCGTCGAGAACTTTCCTTCATAGGGTCATTATGAGTCACCTGCGACTCGATGGCACTTAACAACAACAACAATATGTCTTGTAAACCTAAAGCAGCATGATTGGTTGCTCCTGTCCATTGTAGATCTCTTTCAAACTCTAGGAAGAATGTAAGACAGTATTTCTGTTTTAAAAATATCTAACAAGAAAGTGATTCCTCTCCATTCATACTTTGAGGTTACTTGAATATACTCCCTTGGTCTAATTCTGCCTTGTGAAGATAAATAATGTGGTAAAGTGGTTTCTGCCTTGTGACCACAGTACCATTTAATTGTTACCATTTAAAACTATACAGGTAGGCTAAATAAAATTGGTCTTCTGTTGTTGTTACACGCTGTTGAGCCACCAGTGACTCATAGCAACTCTATGTACAACAACCCTAAACCCTGCTCTATCCTGTGCCAGTCTCGCTGTCTCAGACACATCTACTCTCATTACCGCAGTCACTAATTAATCTATTTCACTGAGGGTCTTCCTCTCCTGCGCTGTCCCTCCATCTTCCCAAGCATGACATCCCTCTCCAAGAACTGGTCCCTCCTTGCAAGATGTCCAGTGTATGTAAGACAAAGCTTCAGAATCCTTGCCTCCAAGAAGCAGCCTGGTTTAACCCTCTCTAGGACAAAACTGTTCATTCTCTTAGCAGTTCATAGTATATTCAGTACTCTTCTCCAACACCATAGCTCAAAGGCATTAATTCTCCTATCCTCCCTAGTCATTGTTAAGCTCTCTGATGCTCCAAAATATTTTTCTGTCCTTTGAAACCAAGATTCACTTTGGAGGCAGAGATTTTTCATACTTAGGGTGCATGGCCAGCAGGGACCAGTCGTTGGAGGAATCCTGCTTGGAAGGATGGGGGGATAATGCTGGAGAGAAGACCACAGATGAGATGCATTGGACAATAACTGGGGTAGTAAGGATAGACATGTTAGAGTCAGTGAGACTGGCTCAGGGTAGGGCAGGGTGAAGAGCTGTTGTACACAGGGTCACTATGAGTCGCAGGTGACTCGATGCCGCATAACAAAGATAGGATTTAGAGGAATAGTTAAGAGGGGATACTGAATGGTCTAGGCTTGATCAGATATTCCTAATTTGGGAGATCCAAACTATTTGGTGTCTAATTTATCATTAGGTAAATACAAACTAAGAGAAATTGTCATATCTGAGAAACCAGCCAGGAGGATGTAAATGACATCTCTTTTGCAGCTCAGCTATGGCTGTGTTCATGCAAGTATTATCAGTATAATCTCCCTGTGGGGGAAAGAAAAAGGGAAAGCACCTGTGCAAGCCATCAGCTAGATCAGGAATCAGCAACTTTTTTCTGTAAATGGCCATATAGTAAATACATCAGACTTTGCAAGTCAGATGATCTCTAATTATTCAGCACAATTATAGCAATAAAGTAGCCATAAACAATGATAAACAATCTTGGCAGTGTTCTAATAAACCTTTAGGGTGATTAATTTCATGTAATTTGCACATGTCTTAAAATATTACTTTATTGATTTTGGTTTCAGATACTGAAACTAAAAAAATCTCAGCTGTGGTCAATACAAAACTACATGGTGGATGTACAATTTGATGGGTGGGAAGGTGAAGGAAATTGGAAGAATCTAGTCTGAAAAACAATGTATTTGAATTTTTTAAATAAGCTAGTATAATCAAACAAACAAAAAATACATGGTGGGCCAGATAGAACCCGTACATGGTAGTGTACTGACCCAGAACTGGGTCACCATGAATCAAACAAAAGCAAAAATTCTGTATGAAATTGCTAAGAGGAAGGGTGAAATAATTTCTCCCTTCAAAGAAATGTAAGAGGGATAATTAAGAACTACAGATAAAATGCAACACAGTAACTGAACTTTACAATGAGGATCAGTCAATTTTAGTATCATCAAGCTTCCCACAAAGAACTTTATTTAACTTTGTGTGCTTCCAAACTAAACACTTAAAGCAGGCAATAAATTACCACTAGTGTGTGCCTCTGTAGTTCAGACACATTTCAAACAGTAAGTAATGAAGTACATATTAAAGAGAGAGATCAGACTCACAAGCAGAAAAAGCACAACAAATTGAATAATACATATAAATAATGCAGAAAAACTTCCTTCCCAGGCCTGCTTTTAGTGAGGGCATACTTTATATTACACAGCTGTTCACCAATGGTAATTACAAAAAGAATTGACACTGCCCCAAGAAACTTAAACATCCAAAGCTTGTAATGAAGCCATTACTAAGTATAAACAAGTAACGACCTACTATGAGCAAAAGATTTATCATAACTTATAAAGAAAAAAGCAACTTGTAAACGAAATGACATTCTTTAGCACTTGAAAATAGAAAATACATATTGAAAGGGTCCACGACTTGGTCAGCAACAGTTGATAAATGGATGCAGCCCCATCAACAGTCCAGTCAGACAGGAATACAAATCCACCAATGGAGAATTTTTAAGCACCAAGAAAATTGCTAGCACGAAGCTATAAGAAGTAGGCCATCTTTTTACTAAAATGTAGCATAAATACTGCTAACTTTATAAAAGGGAGTTCTGGTGGGCTAGTGGTAAGGAATTTCACTGTCAGCTCAAAGGCACATGGTTTGGATCTGCCTGCTACTCAAGGAAGAAAGTTGGGCAGTCCACTCCCGTGAATTTTACTGCCTCCGAAAAGTCAGCGGGAGGGTCTGCTATGAGTCAGTCCCAACTCGATGGTACACTACAGCCACCTTATAAAGGTTTCAATCTGTTGTACACAGGGTCACTGTGAGTTGGGTAATCATTGCCTAACAACAACAGCCTTATACCTTTGGTCAACTGATTTTCAACCCAAATGTCCATTAACAAATGAATGTGTCACAAAACTATGGTATATTAACACAGCACTGATAAACAAGGAACTTGTAAAACATTACACAACATGGATGACCCTAGAGGACAATATGCTGAGTGAAATATCTCAGATACAAAAGGACAAATAACACATAACACTACTATTATACAACAGGTCTGATATGGGGGTATTGAGGAGAAACTTAGAACAGAGGGGGTAGATAATGAGCACTGCATTGAAACAGATGAAGAAAAAAAATTAATATATAATTAAGCATTGTATGACAACAGTCCAGAATAAGGTGCATTGCAAAGTGGACTGGAGGAGAGGGAGGGGCAGGAGAAAATTATGCAACAAAGATGAATTTTATAAGTCTGCTGGGGGAGGGAGGAGGAAGGAAATTGTGCAACCAAAAAAAAAAAAAAGCTAAAGAAAGATTAGCTTACATAGATTCATCCTTGGATGGTTGCCTGGGTTGGGTTGCCTGAGTTGGGAAGGAGGATAGAGTGGAATAAAAATTAATAGATAAGTTAGGTGAAGGGAAAGGCAAATATCAACATTATTCTCAATAGACTGAAAAGCATTCCCCTTGGTAATGAAATAAGGATGCTCATTACTAGAACTCATTCAATATTATACTGGAAATCATAGAATAAGGCAAGAAGGGGAAATACAGAGCATTTAAATTGAAAAGGAAGAAATAAAACAATCCCTGTCAATAGATGCCATGATCTCTGGAGTGTAGTGGGCTTAGTGTACAAAATAGCTTTCCTAGGTCATTATTGCCTTTGACTTTTGCCACATGTGAACATGCAAATAAGTTGTGTAGACTCCAAATGAGTAGATTTGCAAGTTTTACTCCCCTGCTAGATTTGAACTGAGCAGATTTAAGGGCAGAAGATAGGAATCTTGCTACCAGAAAAAAAAGAGAAAGAGATTACAGCATGTGTCTTTTGGGCCAGAGTCCTGCACCAGTCTGCCACATTCACACAATGGAATGCTGTGCAGCACTCAGGAGAAACAGTTTTGAAAAATACGACATAATTTGAAAGAGGCTGGAGAGCATTATGCTGAGTGAACAGTCTCATAAGAGCAAATACTGCATAAGACTATTATTGTAAAAATAGAAGGATAACTAGTAAAGCATGTGCAGGAACTTGGAGGGAGGGGGAGCAGAGGGGTGAGGATAGAAAGGGGTGGAACTGCAGGGCTGCACAGTTTGGTGGGTGGAAGGATGAGGGGAAGCAAATGGGAAGGATCTGGGTGAAAAGACAAGATAATGATGGGCAAAGTCCAATGTGATTGATTTTATAAAACAGTATATGAGAATGATTGTATGAAACACAACGTGACTGAAGAATAGTGTGA